CCCGGGGTCGCGGGATCGGGTTCCCCTTCCTTATTTAATTTTAATCCCAAGCGGTGTATTGACCCGAAAATGAACAAACGGCATAGGACGTCCTCGAACAAAGCTTTCGGGTTCGGTCATACGACGATCCGAAAAGTTTACCGGCCGACCTGAAAGTGGCTCGTTCTCGAGGTCTTCGGGCCCACTCCGAAGAAACCGAACATGGGCAAACCGCTTAGACTTCCTGTCAACAGCGGTTTCTCGGTGGTGTCCGGGCCTCGTCCGAAGAAGCCGCCGATGGGCAGTCTGCTCAATGTCTTCCTGCGCAAGAAGCGGCCTCCCATGTGAGCCAGTGTCAGCGGGAACGCGCCCCGCGCGGGATTGGGGTTCGCACGGGGGCGCGGCCGCTCTCGCTTGTCCAGGGGGCATGCGTTGCCGCGCCCTTCCAGCACAGCGTTTGCGCTGCATTCGCGCGGCGCCGTGCCTCTCAAGTCGGAATAAACTTCCGGAGCGCCGATGTAGCCCAGCGGGGAGCAATACATGTATCCAGGGGTGCCGATGATCAATGTCTTCGACAAGGCTCCCGGGCGTTTGCGTGTAGTGGCCGCCCCTGGGCTATTCGCCCCTATCGTCGCCGCCGACATCCTGCGTACAAGGTCAGAGCCCCGAACCATCAGGGGTAACTCGGGTCAGGGGTAACTCGGGTTCGTTTTTCGGGAAGCCGAACCCGAGTTGCCCCGGGCCCGAGTTGCCAGTTGCCCCGGATGATTCGGCCGTCCAGAGCCCTGAATCATTAGGGGTAACTCGGGTCATGGCTGACTCGGGTTCGTTTTTTTTTTTTTTTTTTTTTTTTTTTTTTTTTTTTTTTTTTTTTTTTTTTTTTGTTTTGTTTTTTGTGTTTTTTTTTTCTTCGGGAAGCCGAACCCGAGTTGCCCCTGGCCCGAGCTACCCTGGATAACGCGGGCGCCCAACAAGTCGGCCAGTGCCAGTGGGTGGTCCCCGGCAGGAGGATCACCACCTCCGCCCGGGAATCGCGGATCGAGGAGGAGGGGGGGCCGAGGACGAAGTGGCGGCGAGCCGAGGGGGGGGGAGGCGAGAAGGAGGAGGCCTTCGCAGAAGGCGGCGGGGCCTCTTGGAAGCCCTCGCGGCTTCCGAGAAGTTGTTTTTGTCTTTGGTGAGGCTTACAGTGGGGGCGCGCATCAAGAAACCATGTGCTTTTCGTCGGGGTATTCTGGGTTTCTTCGCTCTTCGCGCTGCGCGGGGGCCTTCCCGCAGCCGTTGAAGGAACTGCTGCGTTCAGGGTGCTCCAGGTTCCCCCTCCGGCGCACCTCGCGCACAGGTTCTCCGGGTTGAATGTCTTGCGAGGCCTTTTTGCGGCCGCGCCCGCACTGTGGGCAACTTCTCACAAGGCCTGGGGGCTCCCGAGCCTTCCGAGAAGGCCTCGTTCGCCGCCGACAGCAGGAGGCTCACCACCATCTTCCCGGACAACTCGCGGCTCGAGGCGGAGGGCGGGCCGAGGATATCCACGGCGGTTTTGGGCGTCTTAGGGGTGCCCATGGGTGTCTCGAGGAGCTCTTCGGGTGTCCAGCTCCTGGAGGAGTTGGCCCGAGGCGGGGACCTATCCATATCCACCGCCAGGGGGATCGGTCCTCGCGGACCTCAACAGGCAGTTGATACGGATAGATTCGGGTCCTCGGGGGCCGACATATATCCAGATCCGCCGCCCGCTGGGGCACCAGGACGTCGGTTCCCAGGCGGTGGATACGGATACACTCCCGCCTCGCAGTCGGCGGCCCTCTCAGTCGTGACCCCCCTTCGGCGCCGCCTGGAGGGTGCGCGCTGCGCACCGCGGGCCGCGACGTTTGGGTGGCCGAGATGCTCCTCGATCCTCCTCCCTCGGCTCGGTGCCGAGCCCGGGGGGGGGGGGGGGGGAAGCGAGACGGAGCGGGCATCCTCAGAAGGCCTGGAAGTCCCCCGGCCTTCGGACGGGCAACCTTTCAGGAGGCGCGGGGGTTTCTGGGAGGGCCCGCCGCCTTCCGAGAAGCCTGCTCCTTCTTACTTCCCCCGTTCGCTCGCCGCCGATCGACCCCCCACAGCAGTGACTCCCTCATGGGGGGTGAGCGAGCGATGCCCCGCCCTTCCTTAGTTGCTGTTGAAAACGCTGGGGGGCGTGTTTTTTGGGGGGGGGTTTTTTCCCACAGCATAACACCAGTGCAGCCCACCGCGGACACCGAATCAGAAACAAGACAGCCACAGTATCACAGCGGGAGCAATAATGCACTGACCCGAAGCCATTACATATACATGGAAAAGGGAGAGAAGCATATATGACAGCATGCCCCCAGCGTTTTTGTTATCATCTGTCGGCGGCGAGCGAGGGGGGGAAGTGACAAGGGGAAGGCCTTGTCAGAAGGCGGCGGGGCCTCTCAGACGCCCTCGTGGCGTCCGAGAAGTTTTCCGTGTCTTCGGGAAGGCAGAGAAAATCTGTCAGCAGCGGGGGGGGGTCCAAGCCTTCTGAGAAGGCCTTCTCCTTCTCACTTCCCCCCCCGAGCGCGCCGCCTAATCTTAAGTCGGGCATGTCCCTTCACAGGAGGAAGATTCCCAAATAGTCAAACAAAGCCTGCACATGGGGACGGTTTTTGGTTCATTTTTGTATATGTTTGTTGTTGTTTTCTTCTTTGTATTTTTCCTCCAGAATCCGCCTGCAGGGGGACATGCCCGACCTAAGCCTAACCTGAGCTCCCCTCCCCCGCCCGGCCCGCCCCCGCCAGGCTGCCCGGCATCCGCCTCTCGCCCCGGTCGCCGCTCGGAGGCGCCCCCCCCCTCGCCAGCCCGCGGCTGCCGCCGCCGCGCGGCCTCTTTTGGCCGCCCAGGCGGCCGACGGCAGCGCTGTGCTGCGGTGGTTGTTGCGGGTCCCTGTGCTTCAGCCCTTTGCTCCGAGGAGGAGCAGGAGGAGCAGGAGGAGGAAGAGGAGGATGATGATGAGGAGGAAGAGGAGAAGGAGGAGGAGAAGAAGGAGGAGGAGGAGGAGGAGGAGGCGGAGGAGGAGGAGGAGGAGGAGGCGGAGGAGGAGGAGGAGGAGGAGGAGGAGGGGGGGGAGAAGGAGGGAGGGAAGAGGAAGAGGAGAAGGAGGAGGAGGAGGGGCGCGTTTGTTCCCCGCCGAGAGTGAGAGGGGGAGGGCTGTGCAAAACTGAAGACCCCCTGAGGCTATGCCGACCGCTCCCTTTCCGCCTCATTTTCGCTTCTTTGTGCCTCCACTGGGTGCGCCTCGAGATTCTGGCCAGAACGCGGGCGTGGAGATGTCCATGGAGCAGCGGTATCGGTTGAAGATCACTGAGGGGCAGCGAACGCGATTTGTGTTGTCGGGGCGACGGAGCAGGGAGCAACGCTCGTAGGTTAAGGGCAAACCCAAGCAGCCCAATCGTCGGCAAGGGCATGCCTAAGATCTGAGCTTCTCCCGAAGGGGGGTCGTCAGGAGTGCTATGGCAGGATCAAGCGCGCTGGCCGAGCGTGCTGGGATCTTGTCCTGGAAACAACGCTGCTCGACCACACGTAACTAAGAGTGAACCTTCGCCGGAGTGACCTTTGGTGCGGGCCCATCGGGGCCCCCGATCGCCGAACGCGATGTGGTAGTCAGCGTCTTGCGCGCTCGTGTTTATTCCCCCGGCGGCCCCGACAAAAGGCCGCGCACCAGAGGTCACCCTTACCTGGGGCCGCTGCGTGCGTGTAGCCGAGCGCTGCCGATCAATGAAGAGGAAGCGTGTTTCCAAATACGTTCCAGATGTCTAACAGATACTTTAACCATGTCTTAATCATGTGACAGAAACATGGTTATAACATGTTTAGAACATTTTGCAAACATCTCAAACTCATTCTTAAGTCAATGATAAGATTGTTGGAGTGTCCATTGCCATGCCATCCACAACTCCAAGGTATCAGTACCTTTTGATTTCCCCACGTGCGGCGGCCCGTGGCCCTTCTCGGCGGCACGCCAGCACACCACTACTGTGAGTGCGCCGCCCCCCCCCCCCCCAAGAGGCGACGCGCGCACCGAGAGACCTTGTGGTGTGTGTGTGTGTGTGTGTGCCTCGTGGCGGGCGCTGTCTGGCCACACCGCTCGGGAAACGCTCCACTGCGAGATGGGTGTGCTAGTTTTTTTTTTTTTTTTTTTTTTTTTTTTCTCTCTTAATATATATATATATATATACATACATACATACATACATGTGTGTGTGTGTGTGTGTTCGGGCCGGACGCGCGCCTCCAAGGAGGACACATGGTGTTCGTGTGTCTCTGTGCGTCCCACTTTCCGCGGACGCGCGGCGCTCCCCCCGGCGGCGGCGGCCCGTGGCCTCTCGGCGGGCGCTTGGCGCCGCGTCGGGGGCGGCGTGTGCGGCTGCGGCGGCCTCCGCCGCCGCCTGCTGCTGCTCCTCCGGCTCCTTCTCGCCCCGTCCTCCTCGTGCCAGGCCGCCTCTTCTCGCCCCTGTCTGGAAGTGCTTCTCCTTCTGCTTCTTCTTCTTCTTCTTTGTCTGCTTGTTCTTCTTATTTTTCTTCTCCTTTGTCTGCTTCTCCTTCTCGGTCTTCTCCTTCGCGGGCAGCAGCTGCGAACATGCTGCCGCCCTCGGGAGTCATTCCCCCCCCCCGCAGTTCGAAGGTGTGCAGTGTTCGAAGGTGTGCTGTTCACGACCTTGAAGCGCACTGGAGTCTAACTTGCGACCACTCAACAACACTTCCGGGCGTTCACGGCCCTCTACCCCTGCATGAGCCGATTGATTGACAGCATGTCCTCCTCCTCCTCGTCCTCCTCCTTCTCCTCCTCCGCTGGGTGCCAGGCAAACAGTTTGACATAGAAAGGAAGGCTGCAGGGCTGCCGCCCACCTTTCGGCGGAAGACTGGCGCGTGTGGGCATCGAGATCGCTCCACCATCAATCGTCTGGTGCTCGTGCGGTCTCGAGTTGTCGGCCGTCTCCCACCAGCTTCGAGTTCACGGCCGTCCCGTTGCTCAGCCGTCGGCCGCCCACATGGCCGCCGGAAGTTCCTAACCTTTCCCTACACCACCCGCAACGTCCTACTACAGCAACATCAAGTAAGACATCGGCCTGCCAGCGCGTGCCTCGTGGGAACCTCATATCCTTTCCTCCGATGGCCCCAGGGACCCCCAGGAGCCCTGGAACTTTCGGACGTCGCGAGAGCCTTGAGACGGGGGTCAGTGCAAACGGAGGTCAGCCAGAGCGTCGGATCTTGCAGTATCCTGCAGGGTCAGGGTCGCATTGACCCGGGCTTGGGTGCAGGATCCTTCGCATTGACCCGGATTTAGGTGCAGGATTTTGCAGTCTACAAGGCCTGATTGACTCGGGTCTGGATTGACCCAGGTCAGAAGATACCCGAGGACCCCCGAGGATAGACGAAGCGTGTGCCCCAATGCGTCTTAGAACCTGCTTTCTGATCGCACGTGTCTACCACTGTCCCTCCGCCTCCCTCGCCCCCAAGGCTCCACAGAAGTAGAGCGAGGCTTGGCTTTCGCCTCTCCCCTCTCTGCCCCCTTCGCCCCCCGCGCGCGCGGGCGACCTGCGACCTGCGGCATGTCCGTCGCCCTTCGGGCCGAGCGTGGGGTCGCCTGCCCGGCCCTCCCGGGTCCTTCTCTTCCACCTCGCGCTGTGGCCGCTCATCCTGGCCTCCAGCATTAAGTCGGGCACGTCCCTCTACAGGGTGAATATCCAACAATAGTCAAACAGTCTGGGGACCATGTTGTTTTGACCATTTTTGAGATTTTTTGGGGCGTTGTTTTTTTATGTATACACATCTCTCTCTCTCTATATATAGTTCGTCCAAAATCCCCCCTGTAGGGGGACATGCCCGATCAAACTCCAGCACCAACGGTCGGGAACGTTCACCTCCACACTGGAGGGCTCCGGCCCGCCCGCGCCGGCCCTCCAGGGGCTCAGCGGCTGCGCTCTGCCGCCCTGTGGGCCCCGCTCCCTCCTCCTCTCCTCCTCCTCCTCCTTCCTCCTCCTCCTGCTCCCTCCTCTCCTCCTCCTCCTCCGCCTCCCCTCCTCCTCCTCCTCCCTCCTCCTCCCTCCCTCCTCCTCCTCCTCCTCCTCCTCCTCCTCCTCCTCCTCCTCCTCCTCCTCCTCCTCCTTCCTCCTCCTCCTGCTCCTCCTCCTCCTCCTCCTCCTCCCTCCTCCTCCTCCTCCTCCTCCTCCTCCCATCCTCCTCCTCCTCCTCCTCCTCCTCCTCCTCCTCCTCCTCCTCCTCCTCCTCCTCCTCCTCCCCCCTCCCTGTGTGCCGCTCCGTCCCTGCGCCTGGGGGCTGTGAGCGGCCCCCAGAGATCAGCTCGCCGCTGGGCCAGCCAAGGAGGGGGTGGGAGCGGGAGTTGACGCTCCAGCACTGCCATCGGGGGCGGCAGAGAGGGGGGTGATGACTAGGGGGGGATCGACCCCCCGGGGCAGGGGCCGGCCTGGACCTCATTGGGCCCTGGAGCCAACGGGGCGCGCACGGCAAGCTCGCATCGTCGGGCGCCTGCAGGAGGCTTTCGGGGGGTGGCCCGGCTCTGGGCGGCCTCCGCGGTCCCAGGGCCTCCAGGCGCCGAGGGGCCCCCGGCCGGCGTCGCTCGCCGCCCGGGTCGCTCCACGGAGGGCCTCTCGTTCGGGGGCGGGAAAGAGGGGGGTGATGACTAGGGGGGGGTGGGATATCATGGCGTGGGCCATGATAGTTCCCCAGATTTCATGGCGCCTCTTCTCATTCCACGACGTCCCTGCTTCCCCCCGTGGGCCGCGCACATGCCGCCGGCCATGATTTGCACCCCCCCCCTCTTGTACGCCCCCCTCTTGGCCGCCCCCGATGTCGCACGAGCAAAGACTTCTTCGGGAGGCTGTCCGGCCGTACCTGCCAGGAGCCTTGGCATCGCCCGGACGTGTGCATTTTGCTTTGGCTGGGACCATCGGCGAGCATCCTGGATCATCGAGCACAAAGCACACGCAAGAAGCCGAATAATGCACGGGAAGTGGACGTCCGAGCTGCTTCACCCCGAAGCCATCCGCGTCAGGCGGCTTCGCCCCGTGTCCGCCCGCAGTCTTGAGCCCGAAGGGCGTGATCACTTCTCTGCTGCGCAAGTCGGGCGGGAGGAATTGCAATGAGTGCGCTCTTGCTCGAAGGGCTGCCATTTCCTCAACAAGGGCACGCCGCTGGGTTCCCCGCGGTGAGGTGCCATGGATGCAGTCAACCCGCACATGAAGGATGGGCGCGTTTTCAAGCTCACCCTTGCATGCTTGCCTCCTTGGTTTATTCTTGGCCATCTTCGTTGGCCGCGCCCAGCTCGAAAAGCTTCGGCCTGGCCCTCCAAGGCCCTTGCATCCTAGGAGGAGGAGGAGGAAGAGGAGGAGGAGAAGGAGGAGGAGAAGAATGATGGAGAGGCGGGGGGAGGAGGGAGGAGGGAGGAGGAGGAATAGGCGGATGAGGAGGAGGAGGGGGAGGAGGAGAAGGAGGAGGAGGAGGAGGAGGAGGAGGAGGGCGAGCAGAGAGGCCAGAGGTCTCACCGTGGGCCATTTTGTGATTCGGGTTGACTGTGCCGGCCTTGCTCCGGAGGCACAGCGCCTCGACCTGCGACCCTCGGCCCGATCTCCCCTCGCCGCCCGACGTGTACTGCAGCGGCGCTCGGAGGAACGGCGTGCGCGTGGGTCGCGGCCACGGGGGCGTAGAGCCGGGCTCCTCTCGCCGGGGGCGGGGCGCGCCAGGGCTCGAGGAATCGGGCAGCGCCAGGGGCCGGGCTCGTTTCGCTTCCTCCGGTTCGATTCGATGCGATCTCGACGGCCTCCGGGTCCCATTCGATTCGTTTTGGGACTCCGATTCGGGTTCCGATTTCCCATGGGGGGCATACTAGCTTGCCAGGTTCCGCCGATTCGACTCTCCCCGGCTCGGCTGCTGACTTTCGCCGATCCGATCCATTGTGATCGCCTATCCGACTCATCGATTCGATTCTGGGGTCTCCTGCGAGGGGGAGCACCACCCCCTTCAGGGGATCGAGGATCTGGGAGGAGGGCGGACAGAGGGCCGAAGAGTTTTTTTTGTTGACGCTGGGCGTTAGTTGAGCGCTTTTTGGGTGGAGTCCTGGGGAGCTCTGGGAGTAAGTCGGGCCGGACTCTCTACAGGAGGAACATTCAAACATAGTCACAAGATAGTCTGGGGACGATTTTTAGACTACTTTCGAGTATTGTGGAATATCTTTTTGCTATTTTTAATTTTCGTCCAAAATCCGCCTGTAGGGGGACACGCCCGACTTAACTCTGGGGAAGCCCGTGGGGTGTCCGTCTCCTCGAGGAGGTGGTGGCCCCGTCCCTCAGCGGCGGCCCTCCTTTCGGGGAAACCTGAGGCTCGAGCGCGCCAGAGCTCGGGTCTGCCAACGCTTTTTGGCGAGCGCGTCCGACAGTGGAGACCCACGCCAAGAAGCACCCTGCTTGCCTCCAGGGTGCCCTGGGTTCCTTGGGATTCGGTGGTTTCGCTGTGGAAGGCGTGACGTTCCCCAACCAAGAATCCGTGGACGTCCTGGGGCCTCGGGGTTGGGTTTCTTGTGGAAGGGTTGTTGTGGTCAGGCCCCTGCTGCAAGAATCGAGTGCGCCGGAACTCGGGTTTCCCGACGCTTTTTGGCGAGCGCGTCCTAGCCTAGATTTTGATGGTCCAGTTTTCGTGAGATGTTTGAAGCGGGAGCTCGCGTCAAGTTTCAGCCTGGGTCTCGTCATTTTCACGACGGCACCGCAAGGCCAATCCGAGTCCGCCGAATCCGAGTCTCACGTCTCCCCGATCCTTGGCGTTGTCTGGAGGATGCCCGCGCACATATAGTTCCACGCTCCCAGGCGGAGGTCCCCATTCTCTCGGCTGGCGCAAACTTGGGGATCAATCGGCCGCTGGAGGCACCGTCTGAGGCTGAGATTTATCCACAGCGGCCACCGGGGGATCCGAGCTTCCGGGACCTCTGGAGGCGGCGGATATGGACACATTCGGGTCTTCTGGGGTCCAAGCATAGGTCATACCCACCGCACCCGGGGGTCCGATGACATCGCTTCCCCATGCGGTGCAAATTGATACGGCCTGTCGCGCCGCTTGTTCTGGCCCACCACGCTTCGGCGCGACACGCTAAGCTTATGTCGGGCCTGTCCCTCTACAGGGGGAATATTCAAAAATAGTTTAAAAAATAGTATGGGGACGATTGGTTGGGGTATGTTTGAGCATTTTTGATTCTTCGTCCAGAATCCGCCTATTGGGGGACATGCCCGACCTAACGCTGAGCACGTCTCGGCCCCCGCGCATAAGCGACCTGAGCCTCTTCCAGCCTCCTGTCCCTGCGAAGCAGAGCGACTCGCTCGGACGTGTGCACTTTTTTCTCGGCGGGGATTATTCAGGAGCATCCTGGACCATCCTGCAAACAAACACACACGCACGAAACCGAAACAGACACAGGGAGTGGACATCCGAGCGATGGCCAGTATCAGCTTGCACTTGGCCTCGCTCCGACGTGTGGGACTGTCTCGGCGAGGCCAGGGCCAGGACACCCCGACCCTCTTGGAAACATCGCGGGCCATCGTGAGAAAAGCGCACGCGAAGCCAAGTCATGCACGGGGAGTGGTCGGAGGGACGCCAACAACACACCACCAGCAGCCCTGGCCAGGCCCATCCTGGGCCCTGGACTGGTGTATAGACCTAGGCCAGGAGGGTCTGTACACCAGTCCAGGGCCCAGGATGGGCCTGGCCAGGGCTGCTGGTGGTGTATTGTTTGAAGCTCTCCTATGTGGACGGCATAGCGTGTCACACGGGCCGCCGCCGCGACACGCTGGGCAGCAGCTCTCGCCCGTAGATTTAAGTCGGGCCCTCTACAGGGGGAGCGTTCAAAAAAGTAAAAATAGCCTGGGGGCGATTTTCCGATGAGTTGTTCTACTCTTCTTGCATATTGTTTGACTGTGTTGGCTTATTCGCCTGAAATACGCCTGTAGGGGGACATGCCCGACCCAACCATAGATCCCTGCCTCGCAACGAGTGCCTGTTTTCAGGCGATCATGGATCAAGGGGGCGTGGCTTAGCGACGGATCCCGTTTCCATGGGAAACCGCGGATTCCCGCCCTCGAACGAAGTGGCACTGGCCGCCTCTTGGGGAGGGCAGCTCCCCCGATCCATGGATTTGGCGACCGCGTGCAAAATCCATGGATCGCTAATCCATGGTTGCGCGCCCCCGAAAGAATAGTCTGGGGACGATTTTTCGAGTACTTTCTGACTAGGTTGAACATCTTGTGGCTATTTTTGATTTTTCGACCAAAGTACGCCTGTAGGGGGACATGCCCGACCTAACCGTACTTCGAGCTTCTTACTACGCGTCGGGGGGGCGTCACCACCGCCGACGGCCCCACATCGTCCCCCGTCACGGGCAGCCACCGCGCGCCGAAGGCGCTCCGACCCCCGTCGCGGCGCGGCGACGAGGCTTGGTTGACCCCCGTCGGGGAGGTACCCACCCACGCATATTCATCAGGAGGGGAAAAACACAGACACAATTAATCGACGATCCCCAGGAAAATATGGGTAAATATGGGAAGTGGGTGGGAAGACAAAAACACAAAAAAAAATTGAAAATATGGGGAATCTTTTTATTTGTGTGTATTTATTTGTGTGTCCTGGGGCCCCTCTAATTCAGAAACCTGGAGTAGATCCCCGCCTCGCAGCGAGCACCCGTTTGGCAAGCTCCGGGCGGGCAGGCCCGTGGCCGCGGACGCTGCCGGAGCAGGTGCAGGCCCTGCGCAGGCAGGCCGCGCTGCAGGGCGAGGCGCTGAGGCGGCCTCTCTCCGCTGGCCGCTCCTCCTCCTCCTCCTCCTCCTCCTCCTCCTCCTCCTCCTCCTCCTCCTCCTCCTCCCCCTCCTTCCCCTCCTCCTCCTCCTGCTCCCCTCCTCCTCCTTCTCCTCCTCCTCCGCCGCCTCCTCCTCCTCCTCCTCCTCTCCCGCCGCCGCCGCCGCCGCCGCCACCGCCGCCGCCGCCCTCTCGCTCCTCGGGGCCTCGAGGATCGAGGCTCTGGCCATGGGCTTTCGGCAAAGCGCAGAGGGAGGTAGGGGGAGGGGGGAAGGCTTCGCAGAAGCACCCCTGCTTCTCAGAGGCGGCGGGCCTTGGTTTCAGGTGTGAGGCCTCCTTCTAAGAAGCCTCCCCCCCTTCCCCCTATACCCCCTCGTGCGCGCAGCCATGGGCTTATGGAAGTCGATCCATGGAGAGGAAGCGTGCTTCCAAATGATGCATAGATGCCGAATGCATGTTTTGAACATGCCCTAAACATGGAATCAAACGCATGTTCTAAACATGCTTGGAACATGCATCAAACATATCAAGCACATTTTTTTAATCAATGATGGGATTGTTCGAGTGTCCATTGTCATGACATCCATAACCATGGGCGACGATAGTCTGTGGTTCCCGATCGAGGAGCCAACAATGTCATTCAAGAAAGCATCCTCGCCTCTAGGTCGACCCCAGTTCGGCTCAAGTTCGACTCAACTCAAGTTCGACTCAAGTTCGACTCGGGTTCGACTCAGGTTCGACTCAGGACCGACTCAAGGTCGGCTCAGATCGACGGGCGTTCGACGCAGCCCCCCTGCCGTGTTGTTGCTCTTCCTCCGCTCCCGAGTGGGGTCCGACCAGGCCTCCCGAGTGGCCCAGGCCTCCCGAGCGGCGGAGGACTGAGGCTCCAGGCATGGGCGACGAGGGGGGGCTGAGGGCCGCGCGGCATCGCCGATGCATCAGCGGTGCGACATCGATGCGGATGCCGACTTTCTCCGCGCCAGCGCCGCCGATGCACCGCCGGCGCCGCCGATAACTCGGCGATGCGGCCCGATCCTCCGTCCCCATCTACGCTTAAGTCGGGCCTGTCCCTGTACAGGAGGAGTATCCAACAATAGCGAAAAGATAGTCAGGGGACGATTTTTCGATGATTATTTGCCATTTCTGAGCATTTTTTTCTGTTTTAATTGTTCGTCCAGCATCCGCCTGTAGGGGGACACGCCCGACCCAAATCTGCTCGGAGCCCATGTGGGAGGCCTCCAGATAGGGGGTGGACACGTAGGCTCCGGGGTCGCCACTGCGCGCCCCACAGCCTGCGCAAGAAAAGAGGCTCACGGGGAGGGCGCATCGACTCTCCAATCGGCCGTTCATCGCCAAGGAGGGCCCGACGGCCCAGTCCGCCCAGGAGGGTGCGGTTTCGCTTTCGAGTGCCCATCCCTGATCTGAGCATCGCCGGTTCCAGGTCGGTGTGTCTCACCCAGAGCCGGTGCCTCCTGTCGTCCCCCATTCCTTGTTGTCGGAGGGAGTGTTGCTTTGCTCGGGACCTGGTTTCCTCGCAGCGTGGGGAGCTACATCTGCATGCACTTTCCGAGGTCCGCGGGCTTCTTGGATCGCCGTGGACACCCCTGGCGGCGCCTCCAACGCCGCCCCTGTCGCTCCACGCGCGATGGAGGGAGATGGGATAACAGAAATCAAGAGGGAGGTCCATCGCAGACCCGTGAAATCCTCTCGAGCCATCGACAGATTAGGCGAACGCCGCCTGTTATTCCTCTACCCCCCTACGCATTGCCCGCCGCCACCCCAGACGCTCCTCCCCTACCTCCCTTTCCCTTCCTCCCTTCCCTTCCCCCGCGCCGTCTCAGCCTCCCTCCGCGCCGCCCTCTTCGCCGGCCTCCAGTTGTTCTTTTTCTCTTCCCCTACCCTCCTCCTCTCCGCGCCGTCCCAGATTCCAGGTCGCAGTGCTGGTAGAAACTCATCTAACAGCTGATGCATTTGTGGACGGCGTGGAGCGCAGTCTGGATAAGGATCGGTGGAAGGTATCCGCCCGTCACAGCAATTCCACGGGAAAGGGAAGTTGTTTTGGCGGGGAGTGGATGTGAAGCACGTGGCCACCACTTCCTCTGGTGGTGCACAACAAGCGTTGGTCGCCAATCCGCAGAGGGACCTCTCGAGGCTGTTCAGCTCTCACTTGGCACCTCTCCTCGGGCAATGTGATGGTGCCAGGTTTGTGCCTTCGCTCTGGATCGGGCACTCTGGGTCGTAATCGCTCAGTCCTGGTGGTGGTCAGCGCCTTTGTTAAAGCACTGGCCGATCCGTGGGTCACAGTCGGGGATTGCAGCCTTTCCCCAACTTCGTTGGCTAACGCGGGGTGGCCCGAGAAGATGGGAAGCCGCACTGTCGTTCCAGATGACTGCGACACGATTTGCGATAAGGCAGCAGCAGGCAGTCTAATCGACGATGCCTATGCGGTGACTAGAGCCAAGTGTGCTAGCTGCATTCGTGTCTCTGGAGTTTTTGTAGTAGGATGGAAGACTCACATCGGTCTCCAGGTTATGTTAAGGAGCTTCGAAGGCCTGGTGGCACAGGAAGCTTGACCCCTTCGAGCCTCTTCCTGACCCAGGTCGGCAAAAGAAGGCTGTTCATCCCGACCGTCTGCGGTCAAAGCAACGGGCGGCGGTGCTAGACAAGCGTAGCTAGGCGCTTTCTCCCGAACTGCAGGAGGAATTCAACCTCATTCATGGTCCTGGGGCTGACGTGGCCCTTGAGGGGCCTGCAGTCGAGTTCGTTCACAACCAACCTGTGGTGATGGTCCTAGTTTTGGAGGAGGCATCGCCACGCGTTCCTCACTCCTCCTCCTCCTCTTCCTCTTCCTCTTCCTCCTCCTCTTCCTCCTCCTCCTCCTTCCCCCTTCTCCTCCTCCTCCTCCTCCTCCTGCTCCACTTCTCCCCCTTCTACCTCCCCCCATCCTTACATCTGCCCTCCGCACGTCAACCATTTCGCCACACTTCTTAGAAGTTTCGTGGCCCCACAGGGCACTCCACCGAGGGCCTCTTGGTGAGTGCGCATGCGTCCGCCCGACCCATGTCGGCACACCCCTCCCACGCTTCGTGACCCCATAGAGAGGTCCACCGAGGGCCTCCGCGGTGAGTTCGCAGGCGTCCGTCCGACCCACGTCGGCACACCCCTTACACGCGTCGTGGCCGCATAGGCAGCTCCAGGGAGTGCCTCCGTGGTGAGTTCGCATGCGTCCGCTCGATCCATTTCGGGGCACCCCTTGCACGCGTCGTGTTCCCACAGGGAGCTCCAGGGAGGGCTTCCGTGGTGAGTTCGCATGCGCCCGTCCGAACCAATTCGGCAAACCTCCTCGCACGTTTCCCGGCCCCATAGGCAATGAGTTCGCATGCGTCCACCCGGCCCATTGCGACATATCCCTCGCGCGCTCCGTGACTTCACAGGGAGCTCCGCCGAGGGCGTCCGCGGTGAGTTCGCATGCGCCCGCCCGGCCTATTTCGGCACATTCCTGACACGCTTCGTGGCCGCACAGGGGGCTCCAGCGAGTGCCTCCGCGATGAGCGCGACGAGTTCGCAAACGTTCGTCCGACCCATGTCGGCTCACCGCTCACACGCTTCATGGCTCCGTAGGGAGCTGTACCGAGGGCCTCCTTGGTGAGTTCGCACGCGTCCGCCCGACCCATTTCGGCACACCCCTCTTGCGCTGTATGGCCTCAACGGAGCTCCAGGGAGGGCTTCCGTTGTGAGTTCGCACGCGTCCGCCCGACCAATCTTTCCGCCCGATCTGTATCGGCAAATTTTCGCGCGCTTCGTAGCACCACAGGGAAGTCCACCGAAGGCCCCAGTGGCAGGGTCCGCATGGCGCCATCCCGCCCATGTCGGCACACTCCTCACGCGTTCTGTCCCCACAGGGAGTTCCACCGAAGGCCCCAGTGGCTGGGTCCGCATGGCGTGCCCGCACCCGATTTGGTACACCCTCACACGTTTCGTGGCCCCATAGGGAGCTGCCCCTCTTTCGTCATGCCCTAGCGGTAATTCAATCCTCATATGGTCGGGCCCTTCCCAGGACAATGTTTCGAGTGAGGCGCGGGTTGGTGTGGAGCCGATGCGGGGCTTCTTGGGCCCACTCAGGCGAGTCGGGAGGCCTGCTCTGGGCACACCTGGTTTGATTTTGCATGTGGCAGGCTGTGACGTCGTCTCCGATTTGTGTGCCAGATAGATAGCAACGGCGGAGCTCATTCCCCATTGCCATCATCATCATCATCATCATCAGCATCATCATCAGCATCATCATCACCATCATTAACAACAATAACAAAATCATCATCAGCAGCAGCATCATCATCGTCATCATCATCATCATCACCATCATCATCATTTTCATCGTCATCATCACCATCATCAGCATCACCATCATCATCGTCATCATCATCATCATTTTCATCATCATCATCACCATCATCATCATCATCATCATCATCATCATCATCATCATCATCATCATCATCATCGGCATCATCATCATCATCATCACCATCATCATCATCACCATCATCATCATCATCATCATCATCATCATCATCATCAACGGTTGTATCCCAACCAAATGCCAGGTCGCGCGGCTGGGTACCCTGTGTCTTGGCAGAAGTCCGAATATACGCCTGACAGGATCCACATGACCAAAGAGTCTACGGAGTGGTGGGGAATCTGCCGCACCATCCGGAACCTTCCACACCGTCATGGACACATGTTGCACGGTAGTTATCCCAGACAGGAAATATTCTAGACGCTTCGCGTAACCCCACCAGCCCATCCAGAAACGATGCCCAGAGGAAGTGCCTCGATCAGGGAAGTGGGCAGCACACAAAGGAAGGGTACCCCAGTGGAGGCCGGTTGGAGCGTCTTAGGGGCCTTTTGGCGGTCCCGGACGCCTCTTAGAGCGTCTTGGGTGCTTTGGAGAGCTTCTTGGGGCCTCTTGGGGGTCTCTTGGGGGCCTC